TTCACTGACTACCTGTCTTGTATGCATACCAGCCCAGCCCCTGGCTTCTTTACTTTTCATTCCATCCAGGAAGAGCACACACCAACTGCTGAAACTTCCTTAGCCTGACGAAGGGTTTTTGAACCCAAAAGCTTGCTTAATTACTATTCTCCAACTATCTGGGTTGGTCTAATAAAAGATATCAGATTCACCCAAGGAACCTTGTCTGCCTATGTCCTTAGACCAACACGGCTACAACCTACACCCCTGCAATAATGAGGGAAGGCACTTTTGGGGGAGCTACTGCCCCTGCCCTGGGAAAGAAGCCCCAGATCATGAGGACTCAATCCAGCCCCCTATCATGTTCTCCCCCACCCTCCTAGACCCCACTCCTTGACCCAACCATGCCAGCTGGCATGTGCTCTGCAGGCTGTTTGCACAGGGTTGCATCCCTTGAGGTGGGAAGGTCACTCCCCCAGGGGTAGGAGGGGGAGTTGGCTTGGTGCCAGAGCCACCCACTGGGAAGTAGAGTGCAAGATTGGAAAGTTTGTCTACACAGGACAGGAGGGTGGGAAAGGGGACACTACATCCTGGGATGCTGAAGGGCTGCAACTGGAGCAGCTCATCTGTGGGGAATGGCCACAAACTAATGAAACACAAGCTGGGTAACATGGATCAGAGATAAACTTACTCTGGAGTGGTGTAACTTTAAGATACCTAAAGTGCTTAAAGCTAGTTTCAGATGTTAATGTGTGAACAATCCAGGGGTTAAAAGCTCCAGAAGTCACCTACAATTAATGGGTAACATGGCCCTAGATTGGTATTGTTCCACTAAGGCAACTAAAATGTATAGGTTTCAATGCTGAGCTTAAGTCTGCCAGTGAATTCAGCCCAGGGTGTTTTATGTCAATGCATAGTGATAAGTAGATTCCTTCAGCCTGATTTTCACCATATTTCCAGGTACTATGCTCTCACTTGGAGTAAACTTCTAGGCCAAAGTATATCACAGTTCTGAAGAATGCTTGCCAACAGTTGAAAATCTTTGCCTAGTTCATATTATAGGAGGAACAGAAGTCAAATCAGTAAGAATAGAGACAGATGTTGCCTAACATCTCATTTGTACCACCATAAAATTGTTTATGGTGCAGAGATGCTGAGCAAATAGATGTCAATACCCTTTGTTATGCTACAGGAAAGGAAAATCAGTGGCACAACCAAAGGTGGAAATAAATGCTGCCATTTTATTGAGGTGAATGTCTATTATCTCTGTGGCACTTCCCCTGCTCAGTCAGACCCACTCCTCCATGATCACAGGGAAACAAGTCTGGCTGGGTGGGAAAAAGCCCTACTTTCCCTGTTTAGCCAGACCTGTGTCCCAGGTCTGACTGAGCGGGTAAAGCAAAAGATCACATCGCTCCTTGTCCTACAACATCAATGGCATGACAAGGGGCGACCTGTGTTTCTCCTTGTGAAATTGATCAGCTGTTCTGTGACTCCTATTTCTTGCCCAGATGATCATCTTGTCCTGACTTAATATAGGCATTGAGTAGAGAGCAGCTCCCCATATACTTGTACATCATGGAGGGGAGGGGCCAGTATAAATAGCTGATATATTTTACATAGCTCTGTCAATGAGCCTTATACCTAAGACAATTTGTAACATGTTCATCAGTATCACCCCTTTTGTATAGTTAATTTATTGCGTGAATATTGCAGATACCACTAGAAGCATATGCTTCTACCTTTATAGAAACATGCTGATTGTATAGACATATATCCAAAGTAGGAAGCTCTACTCATTACCCTTACTTACATTGCATTTAATGTCTCTTACCAATTGTGTAAAAGGTAATATCGGGCTTAAATCATCTAAAATAATGCTGCATCTTGGTATATTAAATTCATCATAATGTATTTCTGAATTTTTAGTCAAGGAAAAAAGGAAACTTATGAAAACAAGGAGATAAAGTTCTATCCCATTTTACCCTCCATTTGAAGGACCAAGATTTATGTGGATGATTTATGCTGAATACTTTTGTAAAGATTATAATCTGATTTAAAGTTGATGGTACTTTAAGGATTTTTTTAAAAGAAGTAAAAAAATTGAGCTCCTGAATTGAGATGTGGCAGAATTGTGCAAGATATTACCATTTTTTTTTCAAATTTCTGCTTTCAAATTCATACATTGCAACACTGATTCAGAGAACAGAAGGTAGACATTGTTATGATCCTGATTCAAGAAAGCTGTCACTTCTTTCTTTGTAGTCTCTATAAATCATGCTTTTCCTATTTATCTCCAAACTACTATGGTCTTTCCCTTTGTTTCTTTGTCTTACCTTGTATTACTAAACTCTGCTTAAAATATATTGTGTTCCAAGTCCATTCACAATCTTCTTCCACACTTCTTATAACAGTTCTGTCTCGGCTTTTACATCCAGTTCTGACATGTCAACCTCATCTTCAAGACACTCCACAATTTTTCCCTCCCTACATCTCTGCACTCATTTTCTCCTAATCCTACTCCTGGTGCCTTGAATTTCTCTTGAGCCAATATATTAAAGCCTCTCTTTTATATTACCTTGACTTTCACTGCTGTAAGTTGTTCTGTTATACCTCAAAACTCCCTTCTTGTAAGCATATATTCCTCTTTTGTTTCAATTCTTTCTTCAGATTCACTTAATTCAGCACATTATCCACTTTAACCCACAAAAGTATACTGTTCAGGGTATGAATAATGTCTTATCTTGGCCCTGAACCTCACCGGATCCTCACAGTCATATTGGATACAAATAATAACTATTTTCTACACATAAGTAGTTTTAATGAATTATAAACTTGCTTGAAGCTTAGCTGTGTAACATGTTGTCTGCATTTAATTTGGTTTCATGTGGATAAGACTGTCTTCCTATATTTGTATATTATTGAGTACCTAATCAGCAATCAGTTAATTAGAAATATTTTCCCCCATGCTTTCACTTAATGGCAAATGCACTTGTCTCAGTAGATGTATATTTGATTTCACTGCTTGAAAAAATGGAGTTTATATTATCTGAATTTAGATTTTATTATAGTATAATTCATTGAAAGGTAGTGGATATATAGGTAATTAAATGAATAGTCAGAAGTTAACTACTTAAGCACAATTCCTCTATTCTGCCTTCTCAATAGGTATCTTGTTTTACAGACTGTGTACGAAGGTTTAAATGCTGTCAAGTCAGTGTAGAAGATGGGAGAGGAAAACAATGGTGGAGCCTTAGGAAAACATGCTTCAGGATAGTTGAACACAACTGGTTTGAGACCTTCATTGTCTTTATGATTCTCCTTAGTAGTGGTGCTCTGGTGAGTTAAACAAGAAATGAATATAATGTTTCTGTGGAAAAAAAAAACTTTTTAAAATCAAAATTCATTTTAGCATATTTTTCTCAGTGAATAAAATACGAAACTCCCTGTCCTTAAATACTGAGGGACAAATTATGGTCACTCCCGTCCTGGTGATTTAGATGTGAAAAAGGGGTAGAAGAAGTGTTCTTTACAACAGCATACCACTGAAAGAACAGCTATATTTCTCAAGGGGGTACTACTACTTCTAACAAAGCTAGTGATACAAATGAGACATAGTGAGGGACCATGAGTTACAAATGCTGTATAATGAATAAGGATAAAAAAATAAGTAACTATATAATAAATATAAACTATAATTAATACTAATATACTTAGTATGAATAACTTTCTTCAACATACAACAGTAACAACCAAAGAAATACAGCACATAGACAGCAGTATCCTGAAGGCACATATAAGTAGTATCCTGAAGGCTTCACATAAATTAGAGGGTAAGAAAGCTAAGTGTCTATAAAATGATACACATTGACCTAAGGCAGTGTGCTTTGTAACTGTACATTGAAAAATCCACAAGTCTGCTAGCAAACTTTTAATATTGACAGTATTGGTATTTGATGAACTGCTCCTTTGAAGACTCAAGCCTGTTTAAAAAATACTAGGGGGACTGGACACTAGACACATCTACACTGGTATAATTTACCCGGTTTCTGTACACTGATATAAATTACATGGTGGACAGACAACCAGCTGCTTTTAATAGGATCTGTTATAAAGCCTTGCTACTACTAGGTGGGATGGAACCAAGTAATTACTTATTTGCCTATCCCAGGGGTTGGCAACATAGGGAGCCTGCAGAGCCAGTTGATCTGATCTGCAGATAGGGCTCCAGACATAGGACTTGAGCCTATGCTTGTGCTCACACCTGCTCTGGGCCTAGTCAGTGAGGAGCTTCTCCAGGCCCAGGCAACTTCTAGCTGTGCCTTTGCTGCCACTGATTCTCCCCTCCCTTCCACCCCCTCAAGCCTCCCCACAGCTATGGCATGGGCATAGCTACCAGACACTAGGGAGGGCCAGGGCCAGACAGCTGGAAGCTACATCCAGGCTCCTGCTTTTTTTTTCCCCTTCTCCTCTCCCTGCTCAACTCCCAGCTGCAGCATAGAAGTGGCAACAGTGTGGATGCAACTTCCCGATGCTTAGCCCCAGTGCAGCTCCCCACCAGTGGAAGCTGGTTGAGGAGTGGAGGCCTTGGAGGAGCAGGGGTGTGGGCATAGTCCCCAGCTGCCTGACCCTGGTGTAGGCACAGGGAGAGCTCCCAGCCACTGATATGCCATGGAAGCCACCCAGTCCTTTTCGGACTGATGCTGGATGGGGGCTGGGGCTGGATAGAGGCGTCTCTGCCCCCACCTGACTGAGAGGAATCAAGTTCTTGGACCCCATCCTGTCCTGCCAGCCTGAATCAGGGCCCCATCAGCCCCCTCCCCATTGGCCAAAATCAGGATCTGCTTACCCCACCCCCATGGCTCCCCACTCACCTGCAACACCCTTTGCGGGAAGGGCTCAGCCCAGAGAGCAAAGGCAGTGGTGGTGTCAGGTGGGCAGGTTCCCCCTCCTGTCTCCTTTCATGCTGGCAGCACAGGTAAGCAGGGAGCTGGGGGAGAAGACCTGAGATGGGAGCTGAGCTTCCAGGGGACGGGGGGTGGGGGGTGGTAAGCCCCAATGGGGTGGGAGGAATTAACCACAGGAAACTGGGGGGCACTGAATGGTAGGGTAGCAGGGGGTTGAGTCCTGAGGGGCTGGGGTGGTAAGAAGGAGCCCCAGGAGGCAGGGGAGCCCAGAATGAGAGTGGGAGGGAACCTGTGAAGCATGGAGGGGAAGTGGGGTTCCCCTGCTACCAGCTCTCTCTACTGTCACTCTGGAGCAGGATAAAGCATGCACTGGAAATTGTACCTCCTGGGATGCTGGAGGACTGCTCCCACTTCAAATTAGCTCCATGGAGTAGTCTGACTTGACTACAACACAAGCTCCCTAACACCAGCTGAAGACAATCCTTAGCTGAAAAGGACAATTTCTGAGATAGGCAGAAGGTATTTAGTTCATCTTTTCCTGCCTAAACATGTGGACACTCCCATTTTAAGAATACTTAAGACATGTGAAAAATAATGTGTAACAGCACCCTTAGATGCTTGGCTAGAATGTCCTGCTACTGTGTTCAGGGTCAAATCAGTCATTGGATCTTGAGTTAGGACAGAATTTTTCCTTCAAATCAGACTTGCAATGGTGTTCTTTGCCACCTTACATTGTGCACAGAATGAACTCCCTACTGGGAACACCTGGGCTCAGTTTAACCTAATAAATTCCCTTTCCTTAAAGTGGCAACATGTTGTCAGGGCCTTTCAATCTCCTGATATTTACCTGTGGCACATCGTAGAGGTTTTTTGACGGGGTGTTTGTGACTGTGGTATGAGGGATGGGTTAGAGTGAATGATTTTGTAGATCTTTCTGAACAAAAGGTTGCCTGTAAATTAAAGGGATTGGACTATGAAACAGGTGCGGCTGGTGAACTAAGACTGGTGGGATGGTAGAGCATCCCATGGGAGTGGTGGGGGGGGCAGGTTTACAGCCGGCCAGCAGTGGAGGGAGGGGAGTTTGTAGCTGGCCAGGCACTCTGGCTGGTAGTGGGTATGCTGCAACCCTCCCCTCCCCCCAGCACTCCGCCCCTCTTCCACTCCTGGCTGGCTGCAAACTCCCCCCAGCCCCCCTGCTCCTGTGGGACACTCCAGCACCCCACCAGACTGAGTTCACCAGTTATGCCTGCTATGGAATAAATTTGAGGTAAGTCACCATAATAGCATTTTATGCTTATAAAACCTATTCAAGTGCATGGATCATTCACAAAGCAGCTAACATAAATTTATTGTCAGAGAAGGGGGGTCCAGAGACTCTGGAGACAGCTATTTAATTGCTTGCTTTGCCAGAGACTTCCTGTGTAACCATGGGAAAAAAATGTTGCTATCAATTCCTCACCTATAAAGTGAGATTAATAGCTATCTGTACTTCCCACCCCACTCAGGGATATGGTAAAGATAAATATATTGAATATTGGGAGCCATTCAGATAAGTTCTTAGATAAATAGAAATAAATCTTCAATTTTATTAATTTGAACTGGCAGGTTTTAAGTAGCTCAAAAACAGGTTTTATCAGCTGGGCAAAGAGTACATTAGTAGCTCAAAGGATCAAGAACTTTGCAAAACTACTTTAACAAGTGATTCCAACTTTTAATCCAGTTAGATAACCTCTACCCCTTCATTGAAAGTCAAAATCCGAGCCAGATTGGAAAGCTTCTGGAATGCTTGTCAGACATTTTGAAAAGTAGAAGGAAAGTTGCATATTTGCTATGTTACAAATGCTGACATTTTTAAATGTTCAAGGAACTTAACATAGCAAAAATATGGTTGCTGTCCTGACAGGGTTACACTCTGGGCCTTGATCTTTCAACTGTTTAGTAGGATTCACACTGCAGCTGCCTCAGAAAGCTGATTTACCATTAATAGGGCCCTTCTGGATTCATGGCAGGAATAGGCTGAGTGGCAGCTCCTTTAATATTGTAGGTTCCTCTGGGCACCCCCTGTTGCTGATTGGCAGAAGGGCCTGGATGCTCACTCCTGATTGGCAGGGAAGCAAAAACTGTGGTTTTAAATATGGTGCCATTTTTGCCTCCCATCCAGTCAGCAGCAAACAGCAGGGTCACTGGGGTCCCTCAGCCAATCAGCAATGTGGGCGGGGGGGTGGGGGGGTGAACAAAGGTGCTTGCAAAATTAAAGGGACTCCCACGCAGTCCAATTCCACTGTGAATTTGATAGGGCCCTAACAATTAACAATAGAAAAATTACTGCTTTATTAAGGCAGTGGCTAACTCTCCCATTTGCAAGTAAATTTCACCTTGAAAAACAGTCATTAATAGTAAGGCTGGGCTCTACATTACATATGGAAGTATATTACATACATTACATACACTAAAATATAGGGAAAAGAGTAGTAAAAACAAACAAACAAAGAAAACACAACCCCCGGATTTCATTCTTTGGGGAGAGAATATTTCTGGGGGGTTTTTATATATGGCTGCAACATAAACAATACACTATAATATTTCTGAGCATTAAACCTTTGCTGAATATTTCTATTTACAGGCTTTTGAAGATATATATATTGAACAGCGCAAGACAATCAAGACTATGCTGGAATATGCTGACAAAGTCTTCACTTATATTTTCATTTTGGAAATGCTGCTAAAATGGGTGGCCTATGGTTATCAAACATACTTTACTAATGCCTGGTGTTGGCTGGACTTCCTCATTGTTGATGTAAGTATATTTATGGAATATTCTTTTTATATTTCTTTTATTTCTAAGGCACTCTAATGTAACATTTATAATCTTGAATAAATCATTTTAATAGTCAAATGATGTAGGCAAAACATTTGAAGAATTACATAGGAACTCGATATCCTATGATTTTACTTCATAAACTTGACCATGTATCAGTGGTATAACTAAGGCAGCTGGCCCAGGTGGTGACTGGCGGGGGGGAGGGGCAGTGTGGAAAGGCAGGAAGCAGAAAAAATGGTTGTCACCAGAGCAGCATAATTTTGCTACCAGCAAGGATGGCAACTGGAAGCCACTGGTATCTCTGTGTGTGGCAACTACCCCAGGTCATGTTTGGCCTTTCCTCTCTCTCTCTCTCTCTCTCTCTCTCTCTCTCTCTCTCTATATATATATATATATATATGGGAAATGCTTAACATGACCTGGGGTAGTTGCCACATATATTCATATATTCTGTCACTGAAGTAGATATGCCACATGCATCCAAGATCAAAATATCTAGCCAGGAGTATCTGTTGGATTTTACGTGTGTCCTGAATATCTTTTCAGCCCACATCAGAGACACAGAGAACCCACCACCACTTGGTTCCTTCTTATCAGATGATTGGCTGAGAGGTCCCAGTGGCCCTTCTGCTTGTTGCTGATTGGCCAGGAGGCACAACTGTGGCATATTTAAATATGTGGTTTTTGTCTCCCAGCCAATCAGGAATGAACAGCAAGCAGCGGGGCTGCCAGGGCCCCTCCACTAATCAGCGACAGGGGGAAAGCACGGCAAGAGCAAAACACACAACAACAAATATGCAAACACACAAAATGGCAAACACACAAACAGCAAAATTAAAGGAGATGCTGTGCAGTGAACTTCTGCCAAAATTTAGGTAGATCCCTACTTATAAAGCATGAAAAATTAGCATAAAAATTGCAACAACTGCAAAACTAATTATTCATAGCAGTTTATAAAGGAAAATTGTTTCTTCGTAAAGTTACAGAAGTCAGGCAATAATATTGTGAATGCTAAACAGATTTCTGTCATTTCTCTTAGGTGCAATCAAATGGGCCTCAGCAGTACTCCCTAGTGGCCCCCTGTAACACTACCAACATTTTGATGCATAAAAGTAAAGTTAGTGCCTAGAGTGGCAAACAGTGTCAATTCATTCGTATTTCCTTCATGGTTTTCTAAATCTCCATAGTCTTAGGCAACCATAATCCTCTGGATCATGCATCCTCTGGATACACATAAGAGGTCTAGTCAAAATGCCTGATGAAACCATTTGTGGCTGACAAGCCAATTCAAGAGTGACATAAATTGTTACAAGTTTCACCAATCCATATGTTGTCTAAGTTGGAGTCCAAATTTACAGCATGCTGCTTTCTTCTTTCTTACTTTGCTTCCGTCCTCTGGATCAAAGCCACTTCATGTTGAGCTGCATCCAGTGCCAGATGTTCCCTCCAGATCAGACAGGATTCTGCATGCTCCTCCCAGCTTCCTATGTTGATGTCGAATGACTTGATATAATTTTTACACACATCATGGTACCACCATAGAGGGTGACCCTGCTTTCTAGAGCCATCTCAAATCTCACTGTACAAAATTCTTGGGGGATACATTCTCCTCCCATTCTTCTGACACGGCCAATCCTTTGCAACCTTTGCCTCATGATAGTGGTTTCTGTGTGTGCCAGTCCTGCATGCTCCAGTACTTCTGTGTTTGGTATTCTGTCTGCCCACTTTATTTTCAGGGTCTTACAAAGACATCTCATGTGAAAGCTGTTCAGTCTCTTGATACGCCTAGGGGATGTAGTCCATACTTCTGAACCATACAGCAGGGATGACAGCACACACATCTTGTAGATTTGTATCTTCACCTTAGCGGATGGTTTGCTGTTATTCCATGCATGTTTCTGTAATAGCCCAAAATTCTTACTGCGTTTCCTATTCTGTTAGTCAGTTCAGTCTGAAGGTCAAGATTCCCACTGATTGTAGAACCCAAGTAGCAAAACCTGTCAACAACACCAAGAGATTTATCCTCCAGAGTGATGTCAGGTATTGCATCTCTTGATACATGATCACATTCTTCTTGAGACTAATTGCTATCCCAAAGCTTTTGCATGATTCAAACAATCTACCCAAGAGATTTTGCAGGGAAGATTCTCAAATAGGAAATGTCTTAGAACCAGTTCTTTCACCTTGGTTTTCACTCTAAACCTTGCAAAGTTGAACAAGCCTCTACCTCATCTGGTTCAAAGACAAATGCCATCATTGCTGTCCTTGGATGCATGAAGCAGCAGGAAAGAAAAGTAAATGTTTTAAACCATAGGGTCTAAGACACCTCTGTTTCACCCTGTTGTTGATGTCAAAAGTGTTTGATTCTTTGTTTTCATACACTATAGTTGCCTTCACACCTTGATGTAATGAGTGAATGATGTTCAGAAGTTTAGGAGGACAACCCAGATTCTTCAGAACAGTAAAAAGGCCCCGTCTGTTGACTGCATTGAAGGCCTTCATTAGATCAATGAAGACTGTGTGCAGTGTTGTTTTTCTCTACACATATCTTGCAATTGTATGAACAAAAATATCATATCAATGGTGGAGCATCCTGAGCAAAAACCACTTGACTTTCAGGATAGATTCTTTCAACTTGAGACCGCAGTCTAGGGAGCATGATGCAAGTGACCATTTTCCCTATGCTGTTCAATGGAGATACCTCTATAGTTGTCGCAGTCACTTCCTCCCCTTTGTTTTTGTATAATTATATGAACTGAGCATCTTTGAAATCTTGTGGTACTACTTCCTCTTTCCAACACAGCAGTATATCTTCATGAATCTTTTGAAGTAATTCATCTTTAGCACTTCGTAGATTTCAGTAGGCAAACAGCCATTGCCAGATGCCTTGTTCCCAGGAATCAATTTAATGGTTTCCTACAAATCTTCTAATGTTGACTTATTGTCTAAATCCATCATAACTTGGAATTGTAGTCATCTTTTGAGCTCTTTGCATTTGATTTCAGCCTCACTGGAATATACAATTCCATAGTCTTCAATTCAATGCCCAGGTTGTTTTTGTTTATCAGTAACGACATTAGTAATAACATTTCCAATTAAGTCTCTAAGCAGAACTGGTTTCTTCTTGCCTGGACCAATTGCTCATTTTATGCCTTCATAGCTATCACCTGCATCAGCTGCTTTTTGAATATCATCATAGAGATTCAGCCAAAAATCTGGGGCATGCCTCTTAGGGTGTGCTCCATGCACTTTTTACAGCACTGTAATTTAAAGCACTTCTTTTAGCATTATAAAGTTACAGCACTCTTAAACATGGCAGAAGTGCAGTGTTTGGTGGGCGAGGCCTCTGAACCTCCTTGCACTTTCCAGGCTAGAAGGCAGGGGGTGCTCTGCAGAAACTTGACCAGTATACAGAAGTTATTTAAAGTGCTGTAGGTTGCTAAAATGCTATAAAATAGAGTACTTCAAATTTAATACCTCATTTAACAAGGGTTAAAATGCTGTACCCATTTTTAAAGTTCTGTAAAGCTGTGCACTTCTGTTAAGTCACAGCAATAAAGTGCTTTAAAAGGTGAAAAAAGCAACTTCTGTACATGCTTTAGCCTCTTTGTGCCTTTCTCAAATTTTCTAGGCTTTTGGTACTAGGAGACTTCTTCTAGTTGCTTAGCACTGTCCTTTTGTTCTGAACCAGCGGTAGAAGGGTTTCAGAGTGCTCTTCAAACCAGTCTGCATTTTCTTGCATTTTTTGCCAAACACTGTTATAGCAGCATTGTACATGTTAGCTTTTCCAAGCCTCACTGGCTGAGTTGCTAGGTAAACTTGCTTTCACAAATTCTTTATTGAATAGTCTGCATTTTTCTGTTTTTAGTTTGGCTGATGTCTACCTGTGGGCAACTGGTAGTTTTGCTATGGTGGATCTTTTTAACATTGATTCTGACTTTGCAGCAGACTAAAACACGGTCACTGTCACAGTCAGCACTGTGATGAGAACTCATATGAAGTATTTTTCAGGTAGGTATGCCTGGTCAATACTAGATCTAATTGATGCCAGTGCCCTGATCTTGGATGTTTCCATGATGTCTTTCTTGTGATTTTCCTAGCAAAGTACGTGTTCATAACACACATTTTGACTTGCACAAAGTTTAAACACTCACTGACCATTTTAATTCATATTACCAATTCCGTGTGTGGCCAGAATACAAGACCAGTTCTTAAAACTACATCCAACTCTTGCATTGAAGTTGCCAAGTATTATAATGGTCTCGTTTCTACGTGTTTTCTCAATCTTTGTCAAGTTGTTGGTAGAAAACATTCTTGTCTTGGTTGCAAGCTTGAAGGGTAGGCACATAGATACTAAACATGATTAAGCCATTCTGTGTATGCACTCTGAGCATCATGAGTCAAATAAATGTAGCAATGGGGCTTTCACAGAAAGATAGTAAGCTGTTTCTAATAGCAAAGCCTACTCCCTGCTGTTTCCATTCTCCTGTTGGTTTCTCATGCCAGAATATGATGTAATCATTCTCTTGGATAGAACCTGTATCTGAGAGCTGAGTTTCTGATAATGTACCAATGTCAAGTCAGAGAATAACCAATTCATAATTTAGTAGTGCCGTTTTCCATAAGTTTGAATCTGAATTAAACCGAGGGGTCAGAGTCTGAACATTCTAGCATACAAGTTGCTTTATCATTTTAGCTAGCATAGATCACACCAAAACCTTCAGTGCATACACGTAGGCAAGAGTATGAAGGAGTGGAGGCTGCCCTAGACCTACCATCCCTCCTTTAAACCATTGAGGCAAAGTCTGAAGGCCAGACTGAGTCCAGACATTCAGTGCCTTGATGGTTGCCGCTGACAAAATTGGAAATTCTAAAACATTACTACCAGTACTTCCTTATATCACCTAGTATCTCCTATTACTTTTTTCCTATTCCATAATTCCTTTTCCCTACTTATTACTTTTTTCTCCTGCTTCTTTTCCAAATTTAAAAGGAAGCCTCTGGGTTACAGAAGGTCATGGGTGACTGGTGCCTCTTCAGTCAGTGACCGGGGTGGGGGGGCCTGCGGCCAATCTCACTGACGGGGGTGGGCCTCCCCAGTGGCCGATCACGCTGCCTGGGGGCTTTTGCTGGTGGCCCCATTCCCCTGCCAACACTCACAAGTGGGGCACTGGTGCTCCCGCCTGCCCCCCTGCCTGTTACCTAAACAGGGAGCACGGCCTGACAGGGGGTACCGGCACTCTCAGAGGGTGCACATGCACCCCCTATGCATCACCACTGCACAAGGTGATCTGATTTAAATTCTTCTCAGCCTGCAAAACACTCAAGAAGCTTGTTGTAGGCAGAGTAACATGCTGAGGATGAATAATTTTTGCTTTTCTATTTTTCTATAGGTTTCCTTGGTTAGTTTAACAGCAAATGCATTGGGTTACTCGGAACTTGGTGCCATTAAGTCCCTTAGGACCCTAAGAGCTTTGAGACCACTAAGAGCTTTGTCACGATTTGAGGGGATGAGGGTAAGACCAAATGAAAGAATCTGTAACAGTGCATGCAAAAAAAAGAATCCATGCCTGCAGAAGAAGGAATGACAAATCCATATAGAAAGGCTGCACTAATCTTCTTATTTATTGCATATCTTTTACTAACAGATAAGCAAAAAGCTCATCAATTCACCAAGTTCCATATGCAGTATCACATATTAGTTGTTTCCTTTCAGGTTACTTTACTTTCTGGCCAATCTCAGGAGTTTTTCTTTAAGGTTTTGAAATGATAAGATGTAAACAGTCTCAAGAAAAAATTTAATTGGTTCAATAATAACAAAGAGTTAAAGATGAATGGTCTTTGTATTTTCTCCTGGTAGACACAGCATAATGTTCTTTTAAAAATCTAATTTTGCACCTTTTTAAAAGGTACCTTCCTTCTTTTGAGTTCAGGCCTTTGTATTTTCATTCAACTTAACAGGCCATTCGTCCAACTGTACTATTTTTCACTAAATTGCACCAGAGTTGAATGTGGCCCAGTTCATGATCTACATCTATTTCTGTTTTATCTGACTTAAATAAAAAAAACCTATAAATTATGGTAAAGATTATGATTTTTCTTTGTTACATAAATACTGCGATGAATTTAACAAGATTCTAGCCATCTAGTAATATATACAACCGATCTAAGAATATTTAGTTCCTCTTTTGAGTAAGTTAGAATTAATGTTCACTGAACATCTCACACAAAAAAAGTCTTTTTTTCAACTTAGTCTTTTTCTTTTTCTCTTGTTGTATGTCTTTAATACTAACTCTGTATGCATATTATTGAACACTGGTTAGTTTTAAGAGAATGGTTTTGCCATCTCTCAGAAATATGAGAATAAATTGCTTTCTGATAAATGTCAAAACTAAATCTAACTAGTGAGATAGACAGTTTACAATATACCGCCTAAATATTCCTTTGATATGAATCATGATATAAATGCATACATCTTAAAATCAAATGTAGGCTCTTCTTCAAATTGTATCTATCAGGTTGCAAATTTGCAAACATCTACTTCAGAATTTGTAAGAAAAAAAAAAGGCTGTGTTCATAAATTTCAGCTTCATGTAGCCATTTGCTAATTTTAGCAATGTCCTTAACATAGAATTCATTAATTTATCAGGTCATGAAAAATGTACTATTTACCTGAATCCAAGATGACTTTGAATTTCAGATGACCTCCTCAATAATTAGATTCTACATGTGGAAAATGTATAATTTATTATAATTTTACATGTATAGAATATAACTATTGAAGGGTCATCCTAAACTCATTCCCCCACTGCTGTAGCAGAGAAACCAGCATCAAGGGGACAGGTGGTAGAAGTAGGGTGGCCTGAACCCTGCCTCCTGCTGCACCTTCTGCATGTCACAGCCTCATCTTCTGACCCCTGCTGCAGTGCCTCCCTGGTATTTGTCCCCCTACCATTTGCCCTGACTCCCACCTGCCACCCATGCCTGCACCTTCTGGCATCTGCAGGACCCTTGCATCCTCACTATCACTTAACCACCATGACTCTGGCTCCAGATCTGGCTCTGACCTTATTTTGCCCCAGGGCACAGAGGACATGGCTGCTCCAGCCCCAGTCCAACCATGCAACAACAGTTGCATTGGCAGCAGCTCTGGCCCTGCCTCCAGAGCCAGAGCTGGAACAGCCAGCACACAGACCAGAGGAATAGGACTGGAAGAAGCAATTTAACTTTGAGAAAGTGCCAGAGAGCTACTGGATGTAACAAGTGGTGCAAAAGGAAAGTAAGTAGTTCAAAATGCAAAATACTAGGGCTGTGTGAAACAGCACCATTTTGTTTTGACTTTCATTTTGCTGTTTTGAAGCATTGTTCTGTTTCATTGTTTTGAAACTGTTTCACTGTTTCAAAGTGTTTTGATGTTTCACCCATAGCCTATAATGGGGAATCATGAAACCGCCTATAGCTTTGTCATTTCTTGACTGATTTGGATAAAAATTGCAAGGATGGTAGCCCTTTCTGAGGGCATGAATCCAGCCAAGTTTCAAGGAGATAGATGGGTGAGTTCCTGGGAAACTTCACCACAAATTGTTCAAAGCAAAATCTATATCACTTGCCAGCAGTGGCAGCCTGCTGTCATCCTGCACACAGATCCAGGAGCCCACGCCCCCTGGGAGGAGTCTGGCACAGTTCTGCAGCCCTCCCATGGGGTGCGGGCCCCTGGATCTGTACGCGGGATGACAGCAGGCTGCTGTCTCTGGCTGGGGCCAATGCCAGCATTGGGTTATTCCCAGCACTTGGCGTATGCTGCACCTAGCTGACTTGGGTGCTGGTGCTGGCCCCAGCCAGCAGCGGCAGCCTGCTGTCATTCTGCATGCAGTTCTGGGGGCCTGCGTCCCCCAGGAGGAGTCTGGCACAACCTCGCAGCCCTCTGGAGGGTGCGGGCACCTGGATCTGTGCATGGGGTTTCAGCAGGCTTCTGCTGCCAGCTGGGGAAATAGTCCAGAGCCACTGCCATCACCCATTGGCAGTGACAGTCTGCTGTCATCCCACATCATCCAGGGGCCTGCGCTCCCTGGGAAGAGGTGGGGGAAGTGATCAGAGAACTGGGGGAAGGATCGGGGAACTAGGGAATTCAACCAGGAACTAGGGGAATGTTCAGGGAGCTGAATATTCCCCCAGCTCCTGGTTTCATTTCCCAGCTCTCTTATCATTTCCCCAGCTCTTTCTGAGGGATGTGGGCCCCCAGGTCTGTGCACCGGGTTTCAGCAGGTTGCTGCTGCAGGCTGGGGCCAGCAGCAGTACTGCAGTCTTTCTGGGGCTCAGAGCGGGCTGCGCCAAGCATCTGCCACTTGCCCCAGACTGCAACAGCAGCCTGCTGAAACTCCACATGCAGATTGGGAAGCCCATGCCTGCTGGGAAGAGCTGGGTAAATGATCACAGAGCTGGGGGAAGTGATCAGAGAGCTGGGGAATCGAAATGGGAGCTAGATGTCAATATCACAGCAGTCCTTCCCACCCTCTTCCCCCTCCCTCTCCTTAGTTTCTGTTTAGCTGCAAGCAAGCCTGGCCTTGAAATTCAAAACTTTCAAAACATTTTGAATGCCCTCCTTTCATTATGAAGCTGTTTTGAAGACTTTCATTTGTTTTGATTTCACTGTTTCAAGCTCAAAACATGTTGAAACAGCTTTGAAACAAAACACTTGTCAAAATTTCACACAGCCCTACAAAATATATCCAGTGCATGTATACAAATGTGAGAAGCTTGGGGAATAAACAAGATGAGCTGGAAGCTGAAGCCAATGTGAAGAAGTATGGTCTGATTGGTATGACTGGCTACAATGTCAACATCAAGGATTACACTCTGTTTTGGAAAAATAGGGCTGGGAGAAAAGGTGGTGGTGTTGTCTTGTATGTAGATGTTCTTGGGTTCAGGAGAAAGAAGACAGCAAAGCAGAATACATTTGGGTGAAGATGAAAGGTGAAAGATGCAGCACTGATATCATGGTGGGGATTTATTATAGGTTACTAAATCAGGAAGAGGAGGTGAATGAGGCACTCTTCAGGGATGTTACAAATCTATCCAAAAGCTGTGAGAGGATACTAATGGGTAACTTCAATTTTCTAGACATCTGCAGGAAGAACAACTCTGCCAAACATAAAATATCAAGGCAGTTCCTAACTTGTGTGGAGAACAATTTTCTGTTCCAGAAAATGGAGGATATAACTAGGGGATCATCTATTTGGATCTTGTTCTGGCCAATGGGGAAGACTTAATGGAGGATTTGAATGTGATGGGTAACTTGGCCCTCTGCTCAGGGTCAGACCAATCACCATATTTGAGGTCAGGAAGGAATTTTACCCCATGGTCAGATTGGTACAGACTGTGGGGGTTTTTGCCTTCCTCTGAGGCAGGGGATGTGGCCCTCTACCCAGGATCTCTTCAGCATGTATTGACAACATTTCATAGAAGCAGGATGTTGGCTGGCATGGTTCTTCTGCTTTACCTGTGGCATGTTAGGATGTTGAATCTTTATTGCATCAGGGTTGACAGTAGTCTCAGAGTTTAGATTATGGATTGTACAGGATGGTTTGGATTGAGATGATCCTGCCTCAGGCAGGAGGTTGGACTAGATGACCTCTGGAGGTCCCTTCCAGCCCTACTTCTCTGATTCTATGATTCGCCACTGCTGCTGCTGCATGACCCAGCTGGGGCCAGAGTCACCATGTGCTGGAGGTGGAGCTGCAGAAGTTTGGTGGTGGTGCAGGAGCTTCAGGGGGGGCAGATGACTGTTGCAGCTTCACCTACTACCCCGACCCCAGGTTGGAGCCAGAGTTGGAGGCACAATAGTATCTTGTCCTCCCTCTATTCCTCCCACCCCAGCTTGTACTTGCATCCAAGACCAGGGGCTTTTCCCCGTATGTTAAAGGTGGTGGGAGATATTCATCTTGAATTCAAGTAAATACAACAAGAGCAGGTCAAATACTATAGAATTCATGTCAGAGACAAAGTTTTTGTGGGTAATATCTTTTATTGGACCAACTGCATGGTTGAGATAGACTTATACAAGCTTTTGGGTACTACAGTACCCTTCCTTAGGTCTAAAGCAGACACAGCAGAGCTAAGTAACAAATGAAACAAGGGCTTGTATAAAACTCCATATGGAAATAAAAACAGGATGTAAGAAAGATTATCAGGTAGCCAACAGACAAAAGAGATGGAGTAGAAACCTAATAAGTGGAAGAGCAAGATTGTTCAGAAGGATTATTATCACCTGTGAAGTGCAGAGATTGGCAAGTATCAGGTAGATTATCAAGGGCTATGAAATCATTGTCTATGTTAAGTTCTTTTGTTCTTAGTGTCCAAACCTAATGACTTTTTGTTTTCAGGATCCTCATTTGAAGGTGTTTAGTAAATTTCCCCTGAGCACTAGAACTGTGAAGTTGGTCATGGAGAGTTTTTCTTGTGAAAAATGTTCTCCTAACTGTGTTCTCTGTCCTTTTTTTTTCTGTGATCTTTCTTT